AGGCTGAGTTTTGGATTAAGGCCCCAGTGCTTACCAATGAGGTTTCTGCTGGTCCATAATGCCTCTCTGGCTCTTCGTATAACATTGTCTACATGAAAATTCCACGTCAACTTCTCATCTAGAATCATTCCCAGGTATTTTACTTGGGTAACGGATGATAGCTCTTCTCCATTTAGGAATGGTAATTGGAAAGTACTCTCTTCCTTTTCTTTGTGAAGACTACCAGACTTGTTTTCTTAGGATTTACATTTAATCCTACTTCACTGCACCATCTACTAACGATGTTCAGGGCTTGTTGAAGTCGATATGAGATCATGTCTTCATATTTACCCCTGACAAGTATGACTATATCGTCAGCATAGCCTTGTGCCTCGAAATGTTTGGCACTGAGTCGATGCAAGAGCTCGTCTACTGCAATTGACCACAGGAGTGGGGATAATACACCCCCTTGTGGGCATCCTTTTACAGTATGTGCTTTTATTTCGGCATTGCCGAGAGTGGATTTAACCATTCTATTTCTTAGTACATTGCTTATCCATGCGCGTGTCGTATCATCTACTCCTCTGTCATGGAGGCATCTTTCGATATGTGAGTGATCAGTATTATCAAACGCTCCCTCAATATCAAGAAAGCATCCCACCGCATATTCTTTGCAATCTACAGACTCCTGTATTTTATTAGTAAGACTGAGTAATGCATGTGTGGTGGATTTATTTTGTTGGTAGGCGTATTGGTTGGCGTGGAGTGGATTTATAGATAAATACTCTTCCCTTATATGCCTTTCCACTATCTTCTCCATAGTTTTTAAAAGAAATGTAGTCAAACTTATAGGCCTATGGGATTTAGGAAGTTCGCTAGGTTTACCTCCTCCTTTAGGTATGTATTTGACAATTGCTTCCTTCCAATTAGTGGGAATGATTCCCATCGCCAGCCCAGCTCTAAAGATATTAATGAGGTAGGGCATAAGGTCAGTTAGTCCCTTTTGTAGGAGTGCTGGAAATATTCCGTCTGCTCCAGGTGCTTTGAAAGGAGAAAATGAGTTGATCGCCCATTTAATTTTATCTTCAGTGAAGATTTTACGAGCAATCTTCCAGTCATTGTTTCTGGGCCTTTTGGTCACCAGGGAACTAAGCTGGGAGATTGATTCGTCGTAAATTGTAGATCCCGGAAAGTGTACTTCTGTTAGAAGTATAAGTGACTCTTTGCAGTCATTGGTATAAAGACCATCGGGTCGTTTTAGAAGCCCAATGGGATTACTGTGGCTTTTCGAGATAACCCTGTGGATTTTTGCGCTATTGCTTAAGTTTTGAATCTCTGAGCAAAAGCCTCTCCATGATTCGCTTTTTGCCCTTCTAATTTCTTTATTGTAGGCGGTGAGGGCATTTTTATAATTGTCCCATTCACCGTTGGTTTTTGCCTTGTTGAAGAGTCTCTTTAAGGAGGATACAACTGTTCTTGGTGAATCCATGCAGATGTCGATGAATCGATTTTTTAGTCTTGAACGTCGGCTGTTGAAGAATTCTGAACTAAAGAAGATGTACGTTGACTTCATGCGAGAGTACGAACATCTCGGCCACATGGAAAAAATCAATCAGGATGATATAATGCATCCACATTACATTTTGCCACATCATTGTGTAATCAAGGCAGATAGTACTACAACAAAGCTTCGAGTGGTGTTTGATGCATCTGCAAGAACATCAACCGGAGTCTCACTCAATGATATCATGCATAATGGTCCAGTCGTGCAAAACGAACTCTCATCCATTTTACTGCGTTTCAGGAAACCATGCTTCGTTTTTACAACAGATATTGAAAAGATGTATCGGCAGATACTAATTGATCCACGAGATGAATATCTTCAAATCATTATCTAGCGAGAGTCACCAGAAGAAAACTTGTGCTATTACAAATTAAAAACGGTAACGTATGGCACAAGAGCAGCGCCGTATCTGGCAACTAAGTGTCTACAAACCCTGGCCAGAGAGCATGCCGTTAAATTTCCGCTTGGTTCCGCTACACTCAGCAAGGATTTTTATGTCGATGACGGTTTAAGTGGCTCAGACAGTCTCATGGAGGCAATTGCAACAAAGGATCAACTTATTAAAATATTGGCGACAGCTGGTTTCAAACCTCGCAAGTGGTGCGCAAATCATTCCCAATTACTTCAAGGACTCGCTCCAGAAGATCAAGAAGTGGATCTCGATGTCAGCAGTGAGTCACATAAGACAGTAAAAACTTTAGGCCTTATCTGGCTACCAAAATCTGATGAATTTTCAATAAAAACTAACGGACCTACACACAGCAAAATAACAAAGAGGACCGTAAGTTCTGAGTCGGCGCACATTTTTGATCCACTTGAATTAATGGCTCCCGTAGTAGTGAAGGCGAAAATATTTGTTTAAAAATTGTGGCAGTTAAAACTTTCGTGGGATGAAGCTCTGCCTGCTGAAATGCATACTCAATGGACCCATTTTCGTCAGAGCTTATGTGAAATAAACAATGTGAAGATTCCACGACATATATTTCATCATAAACAACCAAGGAATACTCAGATTCATGTATTTACTGATGCCTCCGAAAGGGCCTATGGAGCTGCCATTTACATCAGAGCCGAAATGACTGATCGAACTATCTCAGTTCAGTTACTTTGTTCAAAATCACGCGTCGCTCCACTAAAAACGCAGACAATACCAAGATTTGAGTTATGTGCGGCTTTACTAGGAGCACAATTGGTAGTAAAGGTAAGAAAGGATTTGGAATATGAACATCATCCGATATATATGTTGACTGATTCTGAGATAACATTGCATTGGATCAATTCAGAACCATCAACATTCCAAACTTTCGTTGCTCATCGTATCAGTAAGATTCGGCAATTAACACTAAAGGAACAGTGGAGGCATGTCAATACTAAACAAAACCCAGCTGATTTATTATCCAGAGGTGTAGATCCAATTTACATTCAGAAGAATGCAATGTGGTTTTATGGGCCACTTTTCCTTCATGGAAATCAAGAATGCTGGCCCCAACCATTTCGTCAGGAATTGATAACATCCGACCATATACAAGCGGAAGTCAAAAGAAAGGTACATGTGCTTACAATTTCACATGATGATGAACTAATCAAAATGATTTATACGATAAGGCATGGAAACTCATTCATAAGGTTGCAACGAATTCTTGGCTATGTGTTGAGATTCATCAAAGGGTTACGTAATAAGAGCAAGCACAGCGACATCAATTTGACACCATTAGAACTGGATGAGTCATTACTCATAATTATAAAAGCCATACAGCTAAGTGATTTCAATGAAGAACGACATCAACTCTTAAAGAAAAGGGATCTGAAGGGAAGCAGTAGTCTCCACGGACTTTCTCCATTTATCGATGATAGTGGCGTCATCAGGGTTGGAGGTCGATTGACGTCATCACATCTTACCTACGATGCCAAACACCCCATGCTACTGCCATATAACGATCCAATAGCTAAGCTCATAATGAAACATTTACATGAGAAGGGACTTCACTGCGGACCGCAAACATTATTAGCCCAGTGCAGGCAGCGATTTTGGCCAATAAAAGGCAAGATTATGGCTCGATCCATTGTGCAACATTGTGTACAATGCACTCGAGTACGCCCACACATGTTCAAACAAATCCTGGGCAATCTACCAGCTGACAGAGTCCAAGCTCAAAGACCTTTTTTCAACGCAGGTGTGGACTTCTGTGGTCCCATATGGATACACCACAAAATTAGAGGCAAAAGACCATGCAAAGCGTACATCGCAGTGTTTTGCTGCTTCTCCACGAAGGCAGTACATTTGGAAGTTGTTAGTGATCTCACCACAGATGCATTCTTAGGCGCTTTGAACCGGTTTACGTCAAGAAGAGGTCGATGTCAGAACTTATATTGTGACAACGCGACTAATTTTGTGGGCGCTAAAAATCAAATGAACGAGTTAGCTGAAAGCATTCACAGCACAAATGCTCAAAACAACATAATAAGATCCTGTTCAGCTCAAGGAATTGTTTTTCATTTTATACCTCCGAGAGCACCACATTTCGGAGGATTATGGGAAGCTGCTGTCAAATCAGCTAAATATCTATTGGTGCGAACTATTGGCAACGTGTCACTCACTTACGAGGAATTGGAAACAGTGGTAACCCAAATTGAAAGTATGCTAAACTCCAGACCAATAGCACCGTTGTCATCAGATCCAAATGACCCGGCTGCCCTCACACCAGGACACTTCTTAATAGGAGAACCGCTAACAGCCCTTCAAAGTAGGTCAGAAACTACAACCAAACAATCGCTTTTAACCAGGTGGAAGCTGGTGAATCATCTAAAAAACGAGTTCTGGTCAAGATGGTCAAAGGAATATCTTAATGAGCTACAGTCTGGCACTAAATGGAAGGACCAATCACGTGACGTCAAAGAAGGAATGCTGGTAATCATTCAAGAAGACAACGCTCCTCCGCTTCAATGGCCTCTGGGCAGAATCATCAAATGCTATTCCGGTAATGATGGAAAAACCAGAGTTGTAGATGTCAAAACGAAAAACGGGATTTGGAAGCGTCCAATACATCGGCTAGCACCATTATTGTCGGAAGATTGTTCAACCCCCATGATGCAACTTGATAGATGTGATGAAGAAAGGCCTAAAAAACGAGCAAAACTCAACATCAACTTGCTAGCCATTGCATTGCTGGTACTATTATGGATACCACTGATATCAGGGTTAGGTATCACGATAAAATCATTTAATAACACACCAGGCATTCATTTCGAACACAAAGGAGTCATCAAAAGATCACAAGCAGAATGGAAAATCATAGCATATTATGACTTAAGTCCATTGCAGCAGGAGTTTGAATTTATTGAAAATGGAACCGAATCCTTAGCGAACGTGTGTAAGTTGATGAATGGATATAATCACTGCTGGACGTTAGTTGAACAGTTCAAGGCAGCGAGAAATTAATTGTTATCTGCAAACATAATGCAGATCAACAAAAGAAAGAAGAGAGGCGCAATTGATTTAGTGGGTAACATTGCGAATGCAGTATTCGGCGTTTTGGATTCAGAATACGCTAAAAATATGGCGCAGACGATTCAACAACTAAAAAATGACGACAAACATTTGCTTAACCTTTTAAAAAACCAAACTTCAATTTTAGATTCTACTCTAAATATCATGAAACGAAATCAGCAGCAGTATCAAACAACCTTTGAATTAACAGTCGAGCGATTGAACGATGTAAAGGCAAAAATGTTAGAAGAGGACAAGGAAATTTATAATTTAAAACTCCACCAATTTTTCACTGCGATTTCAACTCAACTACTAAGTGTAACAACAAGTATTCAATTTTACGAATCAGCAATTTTAGGAGTGTTGACCGACACAAATCATGGAAAAATCAGTCCACTTCTCCTGACTCCAAAGCAACTCATGAATGAGGTTACTACAATGAGGGAACATCTCAGGTCAACAATGCAGTTGCCGGTTAACATGAGCAACATTTCTGAGCTATATTCTCGTATGACAGTCAGCAGCGGTTTATTTGATACCAAAATGTTGTTTCAAATAACTCTACCACTAATCAATGATCAGTCCTTTGATTTATTCGTTGTTATTCCCGTTCCAGGGATCATAAACGGAGAATACGTGACAATCACACCATGCACGTCTATGATGGCATTCAATACTCATAGGAATGGATACTTTCCGATTTCAGAAATACAGTTGGCACAATGTGTGTCTTCAAAAAATGATATCTTCATCTGTTCAGATACGCAAGAAATATATTCTCTTGAATCAGGCAAGTGCACTTGCGAAGTAAATCTATTTAATAATAGTACATCATCTTGCACTTGGCAAAGTTTCACAAGTAATACCTTATGGATCCAGTCTGTTGCACAAAATCAATGGATGTTCGTCGCAAGAAACCCTGTAAAGCTAAACTCAGTATGTGACAATGAGCATTCTCAGGTGATACAGGTTTACTTGAGCTCCCACCAGGGTGCATACTCTCACATCATACGGCAACAATAACCAGCCATTACACAATGACTACTCGCTTAAAATATTCCCACACAAGCTTCCATTCAAGCCCAATAGGGACAGCGATTCCTCGGCAATCATCTCTAAAGTTGAAAAACATCAGCATGGAGACAGCTAATGATGAAATAAGTAGTTTGAAGGCATCTTTAAATATGATAAGGTCTCAGGAAGAACTGCCGAACAATACACTTTCGCAGCACCAACACCATTTCATTGTGGAATATATGGCACTTGGTCTCAGCGTGCTCATATTCTGCAGCATAATCGGTCGATATTTATTCCGAAGAAATACACACCGTCACAGGATTGGTACACCCCACCCACAACCACGAAGACGAGTTCAAGAGCAACATGCAATGTCCGAGTTCGAAGTAGCAGAATAGGATTGACTAGCGTCAATCGGGGGCAGAATGTCCAATTTGGACATAATAATGATCAGCCTAAATCTTGTATTTTAAATAATATATTTTAAATTATATATTTCATATTAATAATATTCTATTATTTTTGTTTTGTTGTCAAAGCAAATTTTTATTCTCATAATGTTAATGACTTGATGTCTTAGCCTTGAACGGTGGGTTAAGATATCAAAATTTATCAAAACAACAACAACAGTTGTATATCACACGAGCACACTTTGCTCGTCATATGAAACTGCAGATAAGCCATGCATTTAGCATGTGCAATTCTTTAATATAGAACATTATGAGAAATTAAATTTGCTTGTGCAAGGTTAGTATTGTACTTATTAAATAATAATTATGTTTGTAAAGCAAGCTGGTATATGGACTTAGTTCAAGGTTAAAAGAAAATAAGTTTATAAGCATATACCAGGTTGCTAAGGAAATTACGCAAGTAATATTCTTTTTTGTCAATGCATACAATTTCCATGAGAACTGTGACCGTTCCCACAACTATGCTGAGCGATACCTAATCGCTACTTTAATGCAGCTTAAGGTATAGAGCATTATCGTGGGAATTGTATGCATTAACAGCTTGCCAAGTGTGTATAAAAACTCAACATTTTTCTAATAAATTTATCATTCAATACAGAACAGCCCTTGCGTTTTAATTAGTTCAAGTGCTTATTAAAACTCAATTGCAAATAGGTTCAAGTGCCTAGTTGCTCAAAAATATTGTTATTGTTTGAATCCACCTGAAGTTGGTTTAAGTGCCAAATTCAGACCTTGCAATAGGAACTGGTTCAAGTGCCAGATTCCTAACCATAAGCAACACTGAATCGATTCAAGTGTCGATTCAGTTTTCAATAAGAAACGACTTATTGAACATATACCTTCAGTTGAATATATCCTTATATGCAAATATTCTTTTGTATTTTAATTAAGAGTATTTCATTTGCAGTAAGCTTACTACAGCCGATCGCAGTGCTATAATTTTAAATGCAAGCTATATCTTTGCATGAATATATTCTGATGTGGATATATTCTTTTGTTTTTTAATTAAAAATTATTTCACTTACAGCAGGCGTACTATAGCCGATTGCAGTGCTTATAATTTGAAGTAAAAGCTTTTTCTTCAGGTGAATATATCCTGATATGGATACATACCTTTCTTTAATTTATTTCATTGTAATATGTAATGTTTGTACCAAAAGTTTTGTGTCCAATGTATATTTATGTAGGCGAAATTTAATGAAAATTTAATGTAAATTTCCGTCCTTACATTTCCCTCCTTCTTCGGAAAAGTGAACTGGATCTGAGCCACTACCTGGGTCTCCGATGTGATGATCGTCATCCTTCTGTTGAAGCATACTTGGATATTTTATGTGTTATGGTTGGATTCGGAGTTCCGAGGTAACATTTTCTTACTTGTCCTGGATAACATATTACTTTTTCATTCAGGTGAGTAGAACTATTTTTTTCCGGCTGTGGTTGCTGTTCTTGTGGACTGGCATGTGTTATGTAAGCCTGTGTGGATGACGACACATTTAAATTTAGAAAACTAAAATAAAATCTGTGATGGTACCTGGGTCGTCCTACGTTGTCCTCACCAATAGTGTATCTGTGTATTTAAATTATTACAATTATTATAATCTGGAAAAGAATTTTGTGTTGAATTGAGCTTCTCTCTTTAGCTTTTTATAGATTTGTTTTTATTTTGAGTAACCTCATGTTTCTGGGATAAGCTACTAGGTTTATTAAATAATGCAGCAGCTTCTAATAAAAGTTGTGCATCATATAAATTACGAGAAGATTGTTGTATTTGATCTGGAGACACATATTGTTCTGCATAATGTTCAGACTTATCAGTTTGGCGTTCCTCTTTTATGACTATAGCACTTGGATTGATTTGATTTAGAGGTGCAATATTATTCGACAATATATATAATTCGTCTCGCATTTCTACATTGCTCTTATTAGTTTGGAGGAAAAGATTGGAGGAGCCGAGAGCTAATTTCAAAGAGACTTAGTCATTTTGTGTGAAGAATTTTTTTTAATAAAAGTTTTGTTGGAAGGATTTTTATATAATTAAAAGAAAGAAATTCTTTTTATGCTACAAAAATTTATGTTATAGCTGACGCCTGTAAACAATAAAATTATGAAATTAATATAAAAATTAAATCAAGTCAAAAACATCAGTTATTAAAAACAAATATTCAAAATTTAATTGCTTGTAATTGCAATAGTGTAAACCACAAAAAATTGGCACAGAGTTTTATTATTAGCCTGAAGATTATGAAATTCTTATAAAAATCAAATCAAGTCAAAAATATCAGTTATTAAAAGCAAATATTCAAAATTTGGCACGGTATATTCATTCATAAGTGGAAAAGGACAGTAAGCAATTTCCCACCCCCATCAGCTGCCAGCGATTCGAACGGGTAGAAGACCACCGTTGAACCAGGACTGGTTAATGGGTAGAACGTCAACGGTATAAGTAGCGGTACTCTCAGGTATTCTATTAGCAGCTTACAGTAGAAGTGCAGCGAGGTCACGGACTTACAAAAAAAATTAAGAGAAATAAATCATTTTTCTTTTGCAATTATAAATTATTTTATTTTTTTGGTGATTCTATTACAACGTAAATATATCTATTTGGATTTTTTTAAAAATTTTTTTTATTAAATCATTAGTTTTTTTTATTTCAACTTTTGAATTTTTTTGATTAAGCTACAAAATAATCATTTTTATATGAATTTTAAAATTTATTTTAAGTCATTAGTTTTCTTTATTTTCCTATTGTTTTTTTTTTAATTTGATTAATACAAAAGATTTTTGAGCATAAATACAGAATAATTGACAAGTAGCAATAATGATGTTATTTTTTCATTTTTCCATTTTTCCAATAGTCAAACGAAGTAGAGTTTTCTTTGAGCACATCCATAAATTCTCCTTATTTATTGTTTTTAGCTAAGTACACGAAGCACGCGAAGTGACGTCATTTCAGCGAAAGTACTTACTTACTTACTTACTTAGTTGGCCATTACAGACGTGTGTCGTCCTTGGCCGCGTCGAGTAGCCTCCGCCTGTCAGCCCGATTAGTTGCTTTCTGACGCCAGTTGGTAGTACCGAGCGCCCCCAAATCGTTGGTCACCTGGTCCTTCCACCGAAGATGCGGACGTCCTCTACCGCGTTTTCCACCTGCGGGTACCGAATCAAATACCTTTCTAGCCGGAGCACTTTCTTCCATTCGCACGACATGACCAAGCCAGCGTAGCCGCTGTATTTTTATGCACTTAACTATGTCAATGTCGCGATATAGTTCATACAGCTCATCGTTCCATCTAATTTGATATTCGTCGCCAACGCGTAAGGGACCATAGATCTTCCGAAGAATTTTTCTCTCGAATGCTCCTAACGCCTTCTCATCACTGTTGGTAATTGTCCAAGGACAGGCATGATAAGGGATTTGTAGAGCGTGATTTTTGTTTGTCGAGAGAGGGCTTTATTTCTCAATTGCTTACTTAGCCCGAAGTAACATTTGTTGGCAAGAGTAATTTTTCGTTGAATCTCTAGGCTGACGTCATTTTTGGTGTTTAAGCTAGTTCCTAAATAAACAAAGTCTTTCACAACTTCGAACTTATAATTGTCAACAGTGACATAGGTCCCTGTTGACCACATCTTCTATATCGTACCACATCTTCTATATTTTTCGAAATTTATTCCGAAATATCCAGAGTAGAGTAGTTGTCTTGGATGTCCTGATATAGATCTTGTACTGATTGTGTTTTCTTCAAAGCTGTTCTTTTAAAGCGCACAACAACCGATCGTATTGAGATAAGTTTGGTTTGAACACTTCTTTATTTTGAAGTATTCTTTTTGATTACTATGCCTTCGGTTAAATAAATCCTTTACTTAGAACTATTCTTTTGTATTTAATTTAGAATTGTATCGACTAAAGTAAACGTAACATACTACAGCCGGTCGTAAGGATATAATTTCTGATTGTATACCTTCAGTTGAATATATCCTTATATGCAAATATTCTTTTGTATTTTAATTAAGAGTATTTCATTTGCAGTAAGCTTACTACAGCCGATCGCAGTGCTATAATTTTAAATGCAAGCTATATCTTTGCATGAATATATTCTGATGTGGATATATTCTTTTGTTTTTTAATTAAAAATTATTTCACTTACAGTAGGCGTACTATAGCCGATTGCAGTGCTTATAATTTGAAGTAAAAGCTTTTTCTTCAGGTGAATATATCCTGATATGGATACATACCTTTCTTTAATTTATTTCATTGTAATATGTAATGTTTGTACCAAAAGTTTTGTGTCCAATGTATATTTATGTAGGTGAAATTTAATGTAAATTTAATGTAATGACGACACATTTAAATTTAGAAAACTAAAATAAAATCTGTGATGGTACCTGGGTCGTCCTACGTTGTCCTCACCAATAGTGTATCTGTGTATTTAAATTATTACAATTATTATGGTTGGTTGGTTGGTTGCAGTGGCAGGTCATAAGATAACTTCAAATGTACCTCAATTAGCGATTTTTCGCCGTTTTGTTACCACATTC